GTGTATACCGCTGCTGTTTATTGTGACCCTCATGGTACAAGACTGCGGTGCTCTGTGAAATGACGGCTTTTAAAGTAAAATTTTTTATTTGATGTTGTATTCCTCCGGGCACTGAACCGATGATAAAAATTTCTGAATCAGTATTATAATTCGGATTCAGCATTGAAGAGTTGATAACTTCGGAATGTTCGCAGCTATTTCCTACAGTTACTACTATTTATAATTTTTTCGAGTATATATTCTATATATAGTTCTGTATATTCAAGAATATTTCGAATAGTAGTAGATGTAAAATAAATCCACGGCAGATTATGCCTATGTTTCCTCTGTATAAGCGCTTATCTTCAGCTGTACATTGAGATGACGTGGAATGAACATTCGTTCATACCACAAAGGCGACAACATGGAAACATCGTTGAGGCCAACGCCGTTTAGACCAACCGGCTTTGTACGGAAAAATGATCCTAAAGAAATTGAAACAGCGAATTTCGTCATCTGCTTATTCTACCGTGGTTAAAATCAAATCTGACTCTGTGATTAAAAATGGTTGTATCACAGCAACGGCTGAAAGTTTTCTAGCTTCGCAGAGGTAATCTGAATTGCTCTTCGATTACTGAAAGCTACGTATATTGAAAAAAACCTTCAGTCAATTGTGCCAAATTACGCTACGTATATTAGTCAACTGTGTTGTACACGTTATTTTTAATAGTCTCGCGTCCTCATCGTTTGCTTTTTTTTCTTGTACAGCTGACCGTCTACTCCTGCCTGCCGCTGCACGGCGTGTCTCGTTTCTGGGGAAGGCTTAACGAGTACAGCATTCCTGTGTTCTTGCGACGGCCAATCCTGGGTACGTTCGCTTGGCTGATCGGCTGCGACTTGTCGGAAGCAGTTGAGCCGAACCTCGCTAGCTACCGCAACGCCAGCGAGCTGTTCCGACGCTCGATTCGTGAGGAGCTGCGGCCGATTGCTGCTGAAAAACTGGTATACATTTCTGTTTCTTCATTCTTTACGCCTGCTACCGCGTTTGCTTTTTCCTTTCTGCGACTGTCACAGTTCAACACCTATGGCTGTTTTAGGTAGCCCCGGCCGATGGACTGATCATGCAGTGCGGCGAGGTGGAGAAAAACCAGGTCGAACAAGTGAAGGGTATTAACTACGACTTGCACAGCTTCCTCGGTGAAAA